AGTCTATTTGTTATAGTTATTTTATAGTGTTGGATCAGGTTGAAATATCTAGGAGATTAGCAAAGTTTAACAACAAAAGTGGCAAAATGCACAGCTGAGGGGAAAAGCTTTTGATTGGTCACTCTTACTGAGTTCAAAGGTGAATCAAATCTGTAAAACCGACATTTTACAGATTTTACGGCAGTCCGTTTTACGGCAAGGACACACAACGTTGCAGCCTGGTGCACAAAAGAGGGGTGCCCTTTTGCCTGCACATTTCTGCACATATGATCATGTTTCGTGCATGTGTGCTACCAATAAGAATGGAACCTGTTGATTCTTTGGGTCAGTTGATAGTTAACAGCAGTAAAAAAAACAGCCTTCCTTTGGCAAAGCTGTGTAGTATGTGAATTGTTTTGTAGAACTGAAACCCCAGATGTTCATCATGCTCCATATTGGGCCCACTGGTGTCTTGTATTTGAGCTTTTAGCAGATGGTTTATGGCCCCTGAGTCTATGATATCATAAATGGATATTCAAATATGAGTAGACTTTTAACACACCGTCCCTCATTTTCAGATTCCAGTTTGTAGTCATCATTAATTCAAATTGTTAATAATTTTTTAACAAAAATTGTACGGTTACATTTAGCAAAATGCTATGATTTGGTCAAAAATAAACCTCCGTTATGTAAATTTGGTGGATAATGTTGGATAACGACACCAAAAATACCCAAATTTCTGTTGTTTTTTTGCATGCACTTCAAAATGTGTATACTTCGATTATGAGCTGCACGGAGTAAGAGACATTAAGCTTTAGAAGTCAAACACAATGAGAAGACTGCACCAAACAACAAAAAACTTTTAGTCTTTAATTGTTTCCATCACTTGTTCTCGGTGGACATTGGCAGGCATAACTCGCTTTTAGCAAGAACAACACGGTCTGAGTTCCAGAGTGAAGCAGGAAGCAGAAAAATAAATAATACTGTGTACAAAAATACAACCTCACTGTACAAATGCTGCACCGTACAAAGCAAAGAGATAGGAGACCTGTCAGATTTAGTCTCCGCTGGCAAATGGCACTTTTCAAAGACTGGAACAGTCGAGCCGAAAATCATTTCAACTCAAAACATGCAGAAGTGGAGTTCTTTTTCCTTTTAAATACATCTTAACCCGGCATCCAAAATGCAAATGTGTTTTTCTTTGGTCAAAGAAAGTGTGATAAACGCAGGAATGCACTGAATCATGACCAATACCACCCAGATTTATCAATAAATAGAGATACCAATGTGAAGCAATGGAAAAAAAAACAGCATCCAGGACAAACTGAGTTATCTCTTAAAATGGACTCCAGTGGCTCCAAGACATTACGAGTGACTGTAAAATGCCTTACTTATAGAATGAGATTGACTTTTAGTATTGATTCTTTAAATCAAGGGGTTAAATATATGTCAGTGGTCAATTTGTATTCAGACTAATAATATGTTTGTATGCACAGCAGACTGGAAACACACAACACCAGACACTAGAACAAATCAATGGACTCTGGAGGTCAATCTTCTCCGATTGTACCATCGGACTGAACAACACTCTTTTCGGCTGACCTGTTCCATCTGAAATAATCTGAGTACCGGTTACGGAAAAAAAAAAAAAAGGAGGAGGTCGTGAAGATAGGGCGGCCTCACAGACGGAGGGCGATATGTGTGAAGGCGAGCCGCGCCAGAAAAGAGGCGTTCAGAAACGTTCCGCGAGTGGTCAAGACATCCGGCAACTCATGCTACAGCAAGTGTGCGAAGAATCCTCGAAATCTACCGGGAAAAAATCGTTCGTGCGACACAAAAACAAAAGGGGGCGCCATGCTGACCGCCCCTCTAAACCCCCACCCGCTGACGCCGGACAGGGAAAAGGCCAGTCTCTGTTTTCCAGGGGCTAAAAAAAAAAGGAATGTAAAGCTGGGGGAACGTCACCTCTTCCTAACGAAGTTAAAACAAAACGAATAAATAAATCTGCTGCGAACTCCAGATATGTCACCAGCCGTCCGTCATGCGTCGGGGAGAGAGAGCGACGATAGAAAACACAAATAGCAGCAAAAAACCAAAAAAAAATATGAATAAATAAATAAATAAACATTTCATATCACAGAACACATTCATCAGTGGGTTTTGTTCCACATGGCACAGAGCACAACACCTTTAGAAAATAGAAGAAGAAGAAGAAGAAAAAAAAAAAAAAAAAAAGAAAAAAGTTGAATTCCAGAAATAGCCGGGGGGTATTTTTGGAGCTAAACTACTGTCGATCAGAGCGTCACTTGGAAACATCACTCGCGTCGGGCTGGGGAGGCTTTTTTCGGTGACACGGTCCATGCTGCAACCCACACAGGCCCCCCCCCACACCCATACCCACCCACGCTTTTTTTTTTTTCTGGAATCATCGAACAACAAAGAGCTGCGCCCCGCCGTCGGGCCGAGTCTGTGGTCAGCTAAGGCCACGCCGGCCCCCCGCCGGGGGGGGGTTGGGGGGGGGTCCAGAGGCTCGGCTCAGTCTTTGCTCTCCGCCCGGGTCCGTCTGATGACCGAAGAGAAGCAGCTCCGGCCTTGCGGGGGCCCCATGAGCATGGGGGCCTGGTTCTTGTGGACGATCTCGATCTGGAGTTGGAGAGAGGGGGGCGCGTTTCGACATTTCAGAGACGAATAAAACACTACAGCGTTCTGCATTCTCAATTAATCTGTCAAATGTGATGTTTTACAACGGCTTCTCAATCCTCAGAGTCATAGCTTTAGCCAGAGGCCACCCTTTGGTCATTGAGAAGCTCCTAATCTGTTTCAAAGGGGTCAGATTATTGGTCAGCAACAAGCAGACGGGCACCTACAGAGATGACCGAAGCTTCTGAGTCTGGGTTAACTGTTTAATGCCCTGCTAAAACCTGTCTGGACAGAAGGGAGAAATGTTTTAGGGGCAGATGGATGAAAGTCCTCAACAGGAGTAAGGGGGATGTTTAATAGCGTTAGTAAGGCTTTTCCCACCTTGCATAGCTTGTGGCAACCGTCTTCTAACTCATTCTACAGATTTTGACTGCAGTTTATGAACTAATTAGGTGTTTTTTCTGGTCTTTTTTTGTTGCTTTTAAGATTTGGTCACGTCCTGCTGATCTTGACCAACTACGGGAAGTGGTCAGGCCCACTTTGCATTGATCCGATCGGAGCTCAATCCTGTTTGTGCTCCTACGCGGCTTCAGGGGAGCGGCAGAAAAAAAAAATCGTCACGGCGGCCGGAAACCCCCCCGGAAACACTCGACTGATATATCAACAGAACAACATATAGTTGTTGTCAAACGCGGGCTCACAAATGCATGTTTGAAAGTCTTCCGCGGAGGAAAGTTGGAGAATCCCCGCGGTTCCCGACCGCGATAACAAATGAGAACATTACAGTAGGGTTACAGTAAAGTTTTCTAATGCAACTATATCCTGCTCATTGGCTGCTGCTTGTGGGAGCCGGAGCCATAGACGGAACGGCAGATAAACCATCTCGGGTTGTCAGATTAAGCACATCATTAAACTAAGAGTCTCAAAGCCGTAATGGCGAGAGGAAATGCTACCATCTGCATTCAAAGGACCACGTCGTCTTCAAAGGACAGCTGCCATTTATTGTACTTGCACTCTGACTCTGTGGCAATTACCAGCTTTTCGGGGGCTCTCTGCCGTCATTAAACAAGGCCGAACGCACGACGCACGCCACAACCTTTACGGGCGACACGCTGATCAGAAAAGGGAGAGAAGATCTAAAGGAATACCTGAAATAAATTTGGAAGATAATTGATTTGCGCTTTGAGGACTCAACATCAAGAATTTATTTACCTCAAGAGTCTTTTTACAGCCCAATGTAGTAATTATACAGAACAATAAAAAACAATTACGACTCATGAATTATGCATGGAAAACTCATTAGCCGGGCCAAAAAACAGGCGAACGAGGCAGAAATATGGTAACAATTTAAGTTTGTGGCATTCATTTAAGACCCACTTATCAGAGACAGTGATACGTGTTTTACGCAGCACCCAGATGCAAATGGATTGATGGCGTAAATAAGTGATGCATGCAGGGGAACCAGAAGGCATTTGCATACTTGTTGTTGTTAATAATTAGTGGAATAACATTCCATTTCAACAGATTTTTTATCTGTACGTATCAAACAGGCTGAATGACTCAAAGTCGGCTCTGAATTACAGTCTGAATAATGGGCTGTGGAAATTGTTGCAGCTCAATTATGTATTTCGCCAGACACTAACTTTGTTTGGTGAAGTTGCATCAGGAGACTCCAGCACACTTGCGATCCTGCACAGGTTTTCTTTTGTTTTTGTTTCGCCTTTGCTTCTAAATCTTTGAGGCACTTCTTTCTGCACTAATGTTCTCATCAACACTAAAACGCACACTGGTGAGATCACTTTTTTAGATAGGAGCAATTTTGACCAAGCAAACCGTCTTTAAGGGATATCTTTTATGATAGAAATGATTTTTAAAAATCAGATAAATTCTCGTATTGATTGTAAATGATTGTTTTTCTTAATGCATCCAGTCTAATTTTCATTCATCTGTGTGTGGAATGCAACCTTTCTCGGTTAAACAGTAGAATAAGGATCAGTCACCGCTGTTTTTATCCTAATAGCTACAGCTAACTGTGCTACCGATTAAAGCATTTTTCGGCATCATCCATCCATCTGTGAAGTGAGCAATTACAAAGTGTTCAAGTCATTCGGCAGCTTCTAACTTTCTGTGCGTGGACATGTAAGCCCTGCTGAATCTGTACCGTCCCCTGGATGTAGCCTCCTCCCAGCTGTTACCCGAACCTCCATTATGCCTTGGAACCCGAATCTCTTTGTTACCGATACCGCTAATGCTCTGTCAGCAGGGACATCGGTAACACTGGAGTTAAAAAACATGACCTTTTACACCCTGCACTCCTCCCTTTTTCAGACCTTTAATCGTTTGTATTTTGTAACCTTTACCTGTCTTGATTTCAATAATCACAGGCCGATCCGCTTCAAGAAGATCTAAAGCCAGCACTATAATAAAGCCCAAAAAAGTGGACTTCCGCCCCCTTTCAAATGATTTCCCACATTTCTGGAAGCCTTTGGGCCCACAAACAAGTCTGGCCCATCTGGTCTTAGCTTTATATGCAGTACAGACTATAGTAATATCATACAGTATGTCCCAGTTGAATCCAGTGGGCCTGAACACTCTGTGAATAGACAGTGGAGGCAGATATCGACGTACCGTGCAGGGAGTCTGCATCCAAGGTTCACCGTCTATCTGCATTGGGAGGGATTTACTCGTCCTGCAAGAGACAAGGAAAAACAGCCTCACACATCCACCTCAATGAGGAGTAAACTGTCGATGAAGGGATGCAGTCGCTCGTTTGAAAAGGAGGAACCGAGCGGTGAACTCTGACCTGATGGTCACAGAGGAGCACTGGGCCAGGCGCCGCCCGGCACTCTTCAGCCCCGTGTAGATCTGACCCATCTCCATGGCTCCTTCAAGCCCCACTACCTCCAGAAGCTGGTCAGACAGGTCTGAGACAGAGAAAAAATACATATAAAATGAAAGAAAATCTCAACACATGTCTTTAACTAAAGAAATTCTCAACACATGAAGTGATTTAATGGGAAAAGATCCAATCCTGTCACAGAGATTTCTTTCATTTATTGATTCTGTTAAATAGGATAAAATAACCTGAAACATTCCCGCATTCACGGCAAAAGACAAAGCGAGAAGACAAATAAGGCTTGAGGGGAAGGTAAAAGGGAGGAAGGAGAGAGGAACGTGCGAAGCAGGTGAGGATGAATAAAAGACATGACATGTGATGTTCCTCACTTCGGGTTGTTCTGCCTCTGAAACGTCGAAACGTTCACAGTTTTTGAAAAAAGAAAAAAAGCGCCGACGCGCCACAAACAAAACAAGCAATTAATTAGATTGCGCCGGCGACGCGAAAGCCATCTCGTGATAATATAATTATTAATTTTCCTGCCCTGTTTTTTTCCCAGTTAGGAGCATTGATTTTGCCCCTGCTGGAAGCCCGGTGTCACGCGGGGCCCATCTGTTCCAGCCGCCTCCGACTCTCCCCCGACTCGTCCCCTCCGCAAATTAAGGAGCTGCTGCCTCTCTGCTGGCGGTTTTCAGACTCTAATTGAAACTAAGGACCCGTTTTTTAGGCGTGTTTTACGGCGCCAGCTCCACGGTGGCTGGCGTGCGGACTCGGCTTTCCTGGAGGGAGTGTGTCCGGCTGTCACCGCGGTGACGGACGTGCGTCTGACCCTGTCTAAAGCGTGGGATCAGGAGTGCAGAGCCTTCCGGGGGAGGGGGGGTGGGGGGGGGGGGG